ATAGATGACCCAAATGCATGCGCATTAGTGAAGCTTTAAGTGCCCTTTTTTCGTAAACGTCCGATATAGTTATCTTAACTCTCCACCCCTCTGCTGTCCCGTGAAATGCCCGCTAAGCCGCTTTTAAATCTAGTGTCCGGGATCAGCTTAGTCGAGCAGCGCCCACCGTCAGACGATATTTGAAATATGACGCATCAATACTATTTTGGCTTCTGAGCCAATGCCGGTCCCGTTGAGAGGCAGCCAAGAGACGGGCCACCCAGGCGCTCAAACGGTCACCCCGAAGGGCCATGCTTCCTGGAGCTGCCCTTCGCCGGTGTTCTTGACGTCTGGTGGGGTGACCTACTCGTATATACCGGGAAATGTGATCAAAATTGAAGGATGGTGACGGACGAGTTCTGACGATAGGTAGAACGGATGAGGCTAGTAACTTGCTTCCCTCTGTAGCTACTAGTTACCCAAGCTATAGATCGCTGACGCTGCACGTTAGTAGTGAAATAGACGCCACATCAGGAGGCATACCTGCGCTAAGGTATGCTCAGCTCTTTGACATGTAGCTACTTAGGCGTCGGTAGTCTTCCCCCATTAATAGCGTCAGTGCCGCAGCATTGACCCACAGCGTGAGTCCGCTCAGCCCCGTCCGGCGGTTTCAGGATCGGCCCTGGTGGGTGCGCCAGTAACATTAGCTCGCTGCCCTGTCGCCCGCGTACGCCGCCTCGCCGGACCGCTGCCGCCCGTCACTCCCTAAATCATTACCGCATCTTTGGCTAGATCTCAGTGGATCCCGGTCGCACCTCACGGTTGCAGCAAGTGAGTGCCCGCGCGAGCGAGGCTGGTAGCGTGCTCTGTAGCTAACCTGACCGCATGGCTTGGCTCGGCTGCCGGGTTGCCGGGCGGCGGGCTGACCCGTCTCCTCGCTACAGGGGAGACGAATACCCTGCCATTTGGCCAGGGCGCTTCTGATTAGCTCACCCGCATGCTGGACATTGGAAAGGTTTCAATGAGTTTTTAAAAATGTGCACAGAAGTGAATCTGTGGACAGAGCGATTTTTTTGTGTGGATTTATTATTGTAAATAAAAATGCCTGTTTACGGTCAGTCAGAACCGACCGATACATATGGTGGAGGAGTGTTGAACTTTCAAGCTTTTACCTACTTCGAAGATATACAACGGCGAACTTCGAAGCATATTTTTACTCGATCTGTATGCTAGCAGATATGTTAGACGCCTCCTTTCTCTTGTTGCTGGTATCGGAATGACTCAATACCTTACCGTATAATACCGTTCCGTTCGGGCCGTTTCCATGTACTTTATTAATTACACACAGCCATTGTATATATTTACCTTTTGCCGTTCTAACTTCCACAGCACATTCTGCACTGTATGGGCAGCACGGTTCTTTGGCTATTGAGTGATTTGTCATTCATAAGTCACGTCTAGTGACTTCTCTGCACCGCCTATTTTTCCGTCGGGACCGGGATTGCATATAACCGAGGTCTGGAACAACGTACTGACGGCTTCGGGAAGGTTGACCTTCGGTGAATTGTGAGGCGACATAAAATCATAGGAATCACGTAATCTGATTTCGGCAAGCTTCAAACGCTATCCGACCGTAATATTAATTATGTCATGCGACCTGGGAAACGAGCTACTGTGTATAGAAGTTTCACCTGCGTGAATTACTGACACTGCGTGTAAGGTGTGATATTCAGGGATGCACTTACCTACATTTTCATAAAACGGGTAAATACCTAAACCTATTTCCATTTGTTCTGAAAAAAGTTGACAGGCTTTAGAGTCAGATCTTTAGATTGGACGTTTGAATGCCGAATGTAGTAAACATCCACAACCCTCAGCAGTCGCAGGTCCATTTTTGCTGAAAGGGGTGTACATTTATCGATTCGCCGCCAACCCGCTTAGGGAGCCAAACTATAATCACGGTTAGTGGTAGAATCAAGGCCAAAGGTCCAAGGTAAACTATCTTGAACCTAGCTAAGCGCCCATCCGCCAGCTCACGACCCGTCTCGCCCGATCTCTATATTGGAGTACCGACTCTGTCCGTTCTGTGACTGTACCGCTGGCACCCCCAGGTGATTCCTCGCAGCAAGTCCTCCCACCTGGTCAGCCTGCCGGTGGGCCAGCTGTACGGCGACATCAACACCGACCGAACCACTACCTGCCAGTCTCCGCCGACGTCGCCCATCTTCGCGGGCAGCCCGCTGCTCGGACCCCGCTCCCAGTACCTTCAGAAGGGACGCCTCAAGTAAGGAACGCGTATTCCAGGGACTCGTAAAAACGCGTGTATGGATCAGCAAACGATGTGGATAGCACAGAGCATGTTACTTGTTTAGTGTTAGAGATTCGGCCTTGCACAACATATGCTGCTGCATCAGGTAGCTTGGTATTCGTAGCTCTTTGCACAAAGTCAGTAACCTTTTGAAAGCCTTTGTCTCATGAAGCAGCGCGAACTATCGCGCCTCCCCTGTTGTGCTGAGCTCCAGGCGCCGTTTCAGGTTCAAACTCGGCTCCCGCGGCGGCGGTCCTGGCTGCTTCACCTGGCCCCGCGGTATCGCCGTCGGGCCCGACAACTCGATCGTCGTGGCCGACAGCAGCAACCACCGCGTGCAGGTGTTCGACCAGCAGGGCACCTTCGTCAAGGAGTTTGGCCAGTACGGTAACGGGGAGGCCGAGTTCGACTGTCTGGCCGGCGTGTCAGTCAACCGGATCGGACAGTTCATCATCTCCGACAGGTCAGCAAGGAGCACTCACCACAGCGTTGAGTTCTCTAAGTAGGATGCAGCATCATTGGCAAAAGAAAGTTTGTGTTTCACGTAGACAGTTGTTACTGTTTTCTCCAGACAATTATTCAGGCAATGTCAACCGATTACGATTTGCACCGTGCTATGTCATTGCATCATGTTCTTTTTACTTTTAGTTTATACATGACCTCATTCTCAGTGTATTGCAACCCGGCTATCCGCTTAATCTTATGGCCAAAGTCAAAGTGGATAAACTGACCACCTACTTAAACTAATTACACAAACTCATCTTACTACTGACCGTTCTGTCCATAGGTACAATCACCGTATCCAGATATTCGACCCGTCTGGCCGGTTCCTGCGCTCGTTCGGCCAGAACGGCACCATGGAGGGCCGCTTCAACTACCCGTGGGGAGTGACCACGGACGCGCTCGGCTTCATCTACGTCTGCGACAAGGAGAACCACCGCGTCCAGGTAGGTACGGATAGATCGGGAGAATCATTGAGTCCAGATAACGTCCACTGTCCTCTGTGACGTTATGTCTCCCTTCACTCCTCACCCACAACAACGCGGATGGCTCCGTGGGATGATCGTACGAAATCCTGGAGTTGTGGTTCTTTTAGCGAGTACCGCCACTAACAGTTTCTCCCGTCTATCTCCCTCCTAACTCCCTCCTAACTCCCGCCCTCTCTTCCAGGTCTTCCAGTCGGACGGCACGTTCGTGGGCGCCATCGGCTCGGAGGGTCACACGCCCGGCCAGCTGGCGCACCCGCACTACATCGCCGTCAGCGCCACCAACCGTGTGGTGGTCACCGACAGCAACAACCACCGTGTTCAGGTGTTCGACGTCAACGGAAAGTGTCTCAACACCTTCGGCGGCGAGGGCGGAGAGGAGGGCAAGTTCAAGTTCCCCAGGTGAGATACAGCACGGGCGGGTGACACGGGGTAGGCTGTGCACGGGTGAGGGTTTACATACTGGAATGAGAGGGTTAGAGGAAGCTGGAATGTTTTTTTTTTGTGATAACGATCAAACGTGCATGTAGCTGTGCGTCTTTTGTATGATAGATATCGCATGTCAATTCATGATCAATAAAAGTTGTGGCCGATTGTATGGTTGTAAAATAGTTGCAAAATCACGCTCCAAGGGCTTTTGGAGGGTTTGCTGAATCGGTTTCCACCCACGATCCACCTCTGATGGTGTCCCATGATACGGGCACGGATGATGCTGATGTTTTTTCCGACCGCCAGGGGTGTGGCCGTCGACGACCAGGGCTACATCATCGTCGGCGACTCTGGCAACAACCGGATCCAGGTGTTCGAGCCGGACGGCACGTTCCTCAAGGCGTTCGGCTCCTGGGGCAGCCAGGACGGAGAGTTCAAAGGTGAGCTAATGATCTAGTTAGTGTGAGAGAGACTTACAATTGCCGAGCTTCTGTGTACGACTTCACTTTCAGGTGGTAGCTTTTTCAGCTAGCGTTGGAGTTAACTAGCGTTTGCGATCACGGATGTCCACGGCGATCAGCACAGTCAGGCAGTTTTGTGTCACGTGCAGCGTAACGTTATCGTCATTCTTTTGTTGACCTCTCGGTGTTTCCGGTGTGGTGTTTCAGGCCTGGAAGGCGTGGCGGTGATGACGAACGGCAATATTCTGGTCTGTGACCGCGAGAACCATCGCGTGCAGGTGTTCTAAAGGTAATAATTACACTGGCGGCGTTCGTTCGTTCGTAACGAAACATTGCAGTGGTAAGGTCTGTTTAGTTTTCGAAGTTTTCGTAATCAACGCTCAGGGAGATATTTGTGATGCAAATAATTAAGAGGTAATAAAAGGGTTTAAAGCGAATTTCTCATGATGCAATGCGTGGCTATGTTCCCGAAGCAGGATAGGCGGATGAGCAGAGGCCCCTCAGTACACACACCTCCTGTACGTTAAGTCGTCTCCTTATCTGTCTCCTTATCTGTTCACTGACACCGCGTCTTTGTTTCCAGCGCGCTGTTGTTCTCGTCGGTCTCCCTAGTCGCCAGAAGCGCCGCCAAGTTAACCGCTACCGAGTAGGCGCCGCGCTGACTCCGCCAGCCGCTGAGCCACTAGTCAGAAACTCGTGTACCGCGGTCGCAACGTTATATAATACGGATTCGGTTAAAGTGCGACGGCAGAGGTGTAACAGTGATAGCCACGACGGGACAGCGGCAAGCGAGCTTTGTTTAACCACTGGTGATCTGTATGCAGTTCGTTCAAATGAAAGTGTTATTGATAAATATATGACATTAACTCAAAAAGTATTTCATTTAACATTTGTTCATATCCATCTGACGGTCACAGACATCCCATGCAATAGTTTCAGCAGGGCCGCGGTCCCCGACGCCCCAGGGCCACGACCCAATTAGGACGCGATGCCAGACGGTTACAAACGTCCGTTTATCCATTTCACAGTCTCCTAACACAGATAATCACCAATGCCACACAAAAGCTGCCCGGGCGGTATTGGAGGTACTTCGCCATGGACCCAGCATTGGCTGGCTTTTAGCTATATCAGTAATGAACACGACATACTTTTTGCTTTAAACATATATTTGATAAGACGATTTTCTGTTATGCTTTGGACAAAGGACTAGAAACAACCCCCTCGATGCCCCGGAGTCTCACTCCAGAGTAGGTGTTGATCGGCAAAAGCTCAAACCACTTTGCCATACCCTCCCGTCGTAAAGACGTCAAGGCGTCAGGAAATTGTAGTAAATCGTTCGCTGAAAACGTATGTTTTTACGTTTTCGTTGGATCCCTGCCGTTGACCCATCGGGGCTCTAATGTTGCATTTTCTCTGGCTGCCCAGAGAGCCACTGTAGATCACCCGTTCTGACCGTCGTTACCTTGTCGCCACATCCCGAGGTCTGTTCCCATAGAGAGCCGGTCGCCGCTGAGGGCCGGTCAGCGGCCGCTGCGGGGGATCGAGGGCAGCGGCGTGGCCGGTGTGAACGGCCTCTCTACCTCCCCCGGGTGGATAAACTGTCCGGGCGCCTGCGGCTGCTGCTTGGGCTGCGACCAGAAGTCGGAGGGCGGGCGGTACGGCTGGAGGCCCGGCGGAGGACCGGTCACCGGTCCCTGAGGCGGCTCCCCGGCGCCGGGAGTCGGCGGCGGAGCGCCCGACACCCCCAGCGCCTTGGCCAGCGAGCGAGACATGGCGTACGGCCGCGCCGCACTGCCGTCGTTCTCGTCCAAATCCACCATGGCGCAGTAGAATATCGTGTCGACGCCCATGGCGAACACGGAGAATGCTGTGCCGGCCACGGCGTAGGCGATGAGTCCGCTGAAGACGGCCGGCAGCAGCCAGGGCACGGGCTCGCTGAGCGCCGCCTCCATGATCCAGTGCACGAGCAGCACGCTGGCGGCCACCACCAGCAGCCGGCTGAGCCACAGTACCAGCGCCGTCACCGAGTCGGCCACCGCCACACGCGCCAGGTTGCGCATCACCACGGCCAGGCCGCGCTGGCCGGCCGCGCACAGACCCACGCTCTCCAGCGCCGTGACGATGTAGGCGCGCCGGTTGATGAACTGGATGACGTTCTCCACACACCAGAAGCAGCACTGGCAGCAGGAGACCAGACAGCCGGCCAGACGGCCGCCGCGCTTCTCCAGACGGGATTTGAGCCAGGTGAGGGCCGCGCGGCAGACTTTCACTATGGAGATGAGTAGTGAGCCGAAGGCAGCCGTGCCACTGTGAAAGATCAACGCCAGCACATAGGCCCGCAGGGGTAGTACCAGACTAAAGCTCTTACTGGTGCTGAAGTACCACGTCGAAAAGGCTATGGCCACGACAATCTGGTTGATGGCTGCCACGAAGCAGACGCCCCAGATCAGTGCGAAGGCGTTGTAGGCGTACAGTCGCAGGTTCTGTGTGCTGGAGCAGGTGGCGTTGGGGCAGACCTCGCCGCAGCGGGCGGCGAACTCGCCCGGGAAGCAGATGTCGCCGGTGGCGTACCGGTCGCACTGGTCGCACTCGCCAAACACGCGCCAGCGGTGCGGGCTGCCCATCAGGAACACCAACACCAGCACGAACAGCAGGCAGACGAGCAGCTGCAGCGCGAAACTCAGCACCGGCACCAGCAGCACCGTCAGCATGTCGCCGATGGCGGCGCTGCACTGCTCCAGGATGGCCACTGCCAGCACCAGGCGGCGGCGCAACGCCAGCACCAACACCAGGTGCAGCACCAGCAGACAGCCGGCGGCCACCGACAGACCGAGCCACAGGCTCGGGTCCTCCTGCAGCGGCACCTCCTTGCCGTCCGGCGGCGCGGCGGCCGTGTCGTTGCCGGCCGGCGGCGCGGCGGCCGTGTCGTTGCCGGCCGGCGGCGCGGCGCGCAGCTCGGTGTACTGGTGCGCGCAGATCGCCGAGGCGGCCGCCAGCAGCACCGCCACCGCCGCCAGCACTAGCACCACGATCGGGCCGATGAAGCAGCGCAGCAGCAGCACCACCAGCAGCGCCAGCACCAGCGGCGTCACCAGGCTGACGCACGTCAGGCCCGCCAGGTGGACGCCGATGAAGCGCATCTGACGGACAGCCTCGGAGGCAGCCTGCCGGGGACCGAGGGGAGGGGTCAGCTCACCGGGGGACGCATCAGCTGCAGACCACTACAGTGAGATGTCAGTGAGATGTCACATCTATCCAGAGCTGGAGCGATCACGCGCGCAATACTACTGACATCGAATCTTAATTTGGCCAGAGAAGTGTGCTCAAATGGGGATGTGGGCCTTAGATAATCTCAATTTACACTTTACAGTGATTCTCAGTGCATCAATCACACACCCAGCACTTACACATGCTTTACAATGAAAAAGAAAAACTCAATTGCCAAGAAACTGACCTACATATCTGACCGATGAATCTCCCATGTTGAAATATTGAGTCCATCATTGCTCACCTTCAGCACGCGTTTGGTGATGGAGTCTCCCTCGCTGGTCTCGGGCGACTCCGGCAGGGTGACGTTCACCGGCTGGGTGGTGTTGGTGTCGGTGCCCACCGTGCCGTTGGTGCTGGGGGCGGGGCCCGGCTCGGCCGTGCTGTTGTCACTGGTGACGTTCGCGGCCAGCGGCGCCATCAGCTGGATCCGCTGACTGAGCAGGCGCGCCTCGGTGCCGGCCAGCCGCTGGTTCATCTGACTGGACAGCTGCTGCAGGTGGCCCACCGCCTGCTCGATGTCGGCCGGCAGACAGCGGCCGGCCACCGGCCTCGAGCGCACGTACCAGGGCGCGCAGTGGTAGCCGTCCACCAGCCGGCCGTACGTCAGGCTCGTGCGGTTCACACCCGGCAGGCAGTAGCGCAGTTTGGCCTTCAGGTGGTCGGTCACCCTGCCGTCGAAATCGGCGCCGGCAAGCATCGCCGGAACGGCGCCGAAAAAGTACGAATCCGGGCACTCCTTGACGCACATCTGGGGAGTTGCGCACCCGAAGATGACCGCTGACGAATGCGCGCACTTTGTCAGGTCAAAGAAGATAAGGTTGGGCTTCTTCTCGACGCCTTTGTCCACGCCGCAAATGTCGCCGTTGCTATCAGACGGCATGGCAAAGCGCTTAATGGAGCCTTGCGACATAGCGATACCGGCAACTACCACCCAGCCAACCAAGAATCCAGCGAACAAAACCAGACACGGGATGTCCGTGCAGCTTCGTCGGCGAGAGATGGGAGATTCTACAGCCATGATGGTGGGCTTGGACGGACAGTCAGCGCTCACACTCAAATCTAAATGCTTCCGGAGAGCGTGATGCAAGAGTAAAACGAATCATGTTCGATTATTCCCAAAGGAAGATCTCATAAGACACTGAACGGATAATTTTGAGTAGGAATAAATCGCCTATGCCATTCCCGACATACCCTGATTCTCAGCAAATAGAGGTCACGGCGGTCAGTGGGTTGATTTTTACTGGCCCAGCTCGTGCGATGGTTGTCAGTGAACCTGCAGTCACTATCGTATATCTCACAGCATCGCCTGTCGGACATTTTTAGCATTGCGTTTCAGGCTTCTATCAGTGCACCAGTGCTTGCAGATCAGTCGAGTCTATCCTTGATAAACCACGAATGATTTAGAGTGCCTGTAGTCAATGTATTCATTACGCCAGAAAGCTAGTGGTGTATGAAGAGAAGGCAAACATGCTCGAGTGGACGGTGATGTTACAGAAGGCACACAAAAACATTCTTTTCACACTTACGAATACACAACGTCCAATGGGTGTATGAAAATTAGGGAAAACCACCAGATTCAGCAAGTCATTGCCTAAAGTAGCCTTTAGGAATAGCAGCACTCACATACGCGAACATTTATTACGTGCCAATTTTGCACTAAATGTCATTACTTCACCGCGTGAGTAAGGAAATTCCGCGAGCGAGACATAAGCAAATAACATTGATAAATAGGCAATGGATAAATAATAAATACCGACACATATTCCTTTGATGCAACTTTTAAAAGCTATACGAACACGAGATCGAACAGAACGTTTATGTTATACATAAATCATCATTTATGTAGCACCGCACACAAATTTAGGCGAGCTGGATTGGACTAAACTCTAAATAGTTAAACGTTTACATAGTCGACTCGTCAAAAGATAAAAGTCGTCGTGACTAGTTTTAACACAGCACATGAATCAGAACACGACATATCCATGTAATACAGAGTCCTCAGTGCAAAGCCCTGGAGCTAACTAGTTCCGTTTCCGTTTTCACTCTGCTTGCTGTCGGAACCCCATAGGGAGCACTGTGTCCCCATCAACACACACCCGACATAATGAGATGGTGAAATTATGTGAAAACGTTCATTTCATTCGCATAAAATTTCGGTTACATATAATACCAAATGTAAAAACTTAAGGCCAGACTCATCAACACTTGAGAACCGTCCCAACAAGAATGAATAAAATAAGTACGCGCGTGTATCGAAAGAAAATAGGGCATGAACCGACTAAAGCTTCGATATTTTGATGATATCGATGGTCGATGACCTTTTAACTTATCTTCAAATCACACAACAAAATTACTAGTGCCAAAAAAAAAAATACAACAGACAAGTCGATCGTGATGGCAAAGTATGCTAAAAAAAAACAGCTTCAATAAGATTAATCGATTTCAAGCATTCACATTAATTGGCAGTGTTGGTATTGTATGAGCCTGAGACCTCAACATATGCGAAGACTAGCATGATTGTACTGGATCATCGCAAGGAATGTTACACGCCGGTCAAAAGGCGACTCAAGCATGCATTCCGTTGTGTTCATCAAGACACTCGTTTGAAAAAGAATGTGATGGGATGAAAAGGCTTGATGGAAAGCGAAATTTCAATGAGTCATGCAAAATTGAAATTTGATGTACTTTCAAGCACCGTGAACCGTATGGTACTCTGATCAGCCGTCGTGCTTTACAGTATCATATCCACTTGAGGTTCTCTATACTCGATTTATCATGACATGCGCTTTGGCTCAAATTTGCACTCAATTAGCAAACATTTACGCCAATTCCTACATATTTAGTTACGCTTGATGGTCTTACGCTCCATAAATCAATAATTACGTCATAAATAAAGAAAAGAGTGACGGAGGAACAAACTGAAACAACTGAAACCCCCAGATAGACAACCATGATCGATGCACAAAGGCAAGCACGTTGTTCGTGAAAACTGGACGGCACTGGCCACTGCCCTTCTTAGGACGGCTGAGAAGCTGCCGGTCGCTGTAAGCGCGGGGAGCACCGACCCACCGTTCGCGCTGGTGCTCCCGCAGAGCAGCAGGTACCGGTCGGCGGGGCTCAGGAGGCGGTGAGCCGCTGCAGCTGAGCCGCCAGTCTGTCCCGCTCTGCCACCACACAGTTCAGCTCCGAGCGCATCAGCTCCACCTGCCCGACGGGGAGAGGACGAGTTAGTGGGGAAGACGAGTCAGACTCAGCAAGTCCACCCGGTCAGATCCAGCACGACAGCCCCGTCAGACTCAGCGCGGTGGTCGGATAACACTCAGCACGACAGCCCGGTCAACACTTACGGCTGAGTCTGCATCCGACATCACTTTTCAGCTTTCAACCGTCCCTCTCAGTTACATTCTCTGTCCCTACCTGTTCCTCGGTAGTGCTGGTGTCTCTGTGCGTCGGTTCCCCACCTGTTCCTCCGTGGTGCTGGTGACAGTCATGAGTCTATTCCCCACCTGTTCCTCAGTGGTGATGGTGACGGTGTGTCTGTTCCTCAGTGGTGCCTCTGTGTGTCAGTTCCCCACCTGTTCCTCAGTGGTGCTGGTGACGGTGTGCCTCAGCAGCTGGCGCCGCAGTCGCAGGTTGTCCGCCCTCAGTCGCTCCACCAGTCGCCGTAGGATGGAGACGGTACCGGCGTCCGTCGCGGGCCCCGTACTCTCCCGCTCCGCCGGCCGGTCGGTGCCGCTACCGCCTCCGTCCGCGGGAGGTGCACTACTCTCTTCGGCCGCACGCCTGCCACAGGACAACACACTGGGTCAAACGGCGACTCAAACTCAAACGCCAGGCTCACGGGATTAGTGGAGTCACGACCTATCGTTAACTGAACACTCGGGAGGCAGAAAATAGAGAAACAGACGGGTGCGATGTTGAAACGGATTGGGAAAGAATCATATAACGAAGCGTAATTTCACACGGCTATCGAACAGGCCTGCTTTAGCTATCTCCCTAACCAGCCTATTAACACGCATCCCTCCCAAAGCACTCGGCCACCCCACCCCATCCCGGCCCCTCCCCAGCTCTGTCGTTCACTGACCGCAGCTCGGCCAGCTCAGTCTTCAGTTCTCCGTTCTCTCGCTCCAGCTCCTCGTTTCTGGCCGTGAGCTCAGCCAGCTGCTTCTGGAACCTCGCTAGGTTGGCGGCTGCGTTCTGTCGAACAGACGGGTAAAGAAAGGTCGCTGTAAGGCCACGTGGAGCATTGTCAGAATATACAGAACAGACTTATCTATCCTCCAGTATCCCATGCATCCAGATATCACTCCGCTCCTGTATCCTGAGCGGCATCTGAGTCGCAATACCCCGTCCGCATACCGTCCTCCATCACTGATGTTCTAGTTTCCGTCCGGTGTGCTCCAGGGGCGATGGGCAGTGCCGTACCTTTCCCTGTCTGGCGGCGGTGCGCTGGGCGGCCAGCCGGCCGTTCAGCATGTTCACCCGCTGTCGCAGCTGTTCCAGCTCTGCTCCGGCGTCCGCGCGCTCCGAGCCACGCAGCTGCGCCAGCTGCTCCTTCAGCTGCTGGTTGTCGCGCTCCAGCGCCACGTAACGCTCCTCAGACACCAGGGCTGGCGGGGGGGGGGGGAGTACGGTCAGTGGACAGCGCCACGTAACGCTCCTCGGACACCAGAGCTGGCAGGAGGGGGGGGGGGGACAGTGCGCGGTCAGCGGACCGCGGAGACATAGAGCCCTGTCAGCAGAACGCCTACGTTCAGAACTGGTCACTGCGTGTATCGGCTTGACGGAGAACTGGACGGATGAAAAAGGAGAAAAGCATTGCCGTATGCACATACCAGGGTAGACAGGAAGTGCATAGTCACTCTTGCAATGTAGTTGTTGAATGCGAGTCTGGAGGGGGTTCTGCTATCAGAGGATCATATCTAACCCCACCATGACACACCCAGCAGGAACACAGAAGCAGAGAGCGCGGTCACCACAGCTCTCTCACCAGTCAGTGTGCGGATCTTGGTCTCGTAGACGGCCCGCTCCCGCTCCAGCCGGTGGATGGTGTCCTTCAGTCCGGCCACGGCCAGCTGGTGTCGCTCGCTCTCCGCCTCCTTCTCCCGGAGCCGCGCCTTCAGACGCTCCGTGCAGCGCTGCCACTTCTTCCGCTCGTCCCACTTTGCCAGCTCCTCTTGAATCTGTGGAGAGCGGCCAGCCAGTCACAAGGAGCGCAGCTGCCGCAGCCGCGCGGCAATAGTTAGCTGAATCCCTGTCGGTCTAGCTTCTTCGTCATATATTTCGCGAATTATGGCCATTCTTACGGTTTTGATATAGGAACTACCGCCCCTGCCCTGCCCTGCCCTCCCCCTGCGGCTACCTTGGCGGGGTCTCCGGGGGCTCGCGCCGACCGCGCCGGCTGTTCGAGCCGTCCCTTCAGCGTCTCCAGCTGCCGCTGCAGCCGGCCGCACTCCTCGCGACGCCGGCGGTCGGCCTCGTGCAGCTCCGCCTGCAGCTTGTGACAGCGCAGCGTGCGCTCGTTCAGCTCACCTGCGCACAGAGGTGGTGAGCTAAATAACTAAAGCACAAAACGATAGGCAAGGGTTAGGGCATGACCAGCAACAAGAAACACAATCATTAGCAGCTTTGGTTTCCTTTACCGCCCAACTACTGTGAACTGTATTCGTATTTGGCTTATCCGCCGTATCTTTGCATACCATACTTAAAAAGCCTATATACATTTACAGTTAACAATAGCTCTTACGTGATTGTGAACATGAGAAGACATGATTTGACGCTAGATCTCGTTATCTACCACATGTACTAGACCAGGGCTGGCGCTGATCCGCCGGTTCCACTCCCACTGCCACAACTCACTCTTGGTGTCGTCGAGCTGCTGCTGCGCGCTGGCCAGGAGGGCGGGCAGGCCTCCGTCAGTGTCGGCACGGCCGCTGGAGCCTGCCGTCGGCGGGCCGCCCTTCAGCTGCTGCTGGTCCAGGCCGGCCGCCTCCTCCACCGTCTGAACCAGCTCGGCCTGCGGCGGACATAGACAGTTACGCTACTCCAGAGTCACACATCGACACACAATTACATACAGTCACACATGGACACATTACAGTCCTGCGCACGGTGATATAATATACTACATTACAAGCTCTCAGCTTGCACCAATGCTACCTTTTCCTGTATTTTAAGTTCTGGCAACTGTAGATAACTCACGTACAGCCCACCGCTAAAGTAATGTAGGGTTTTACCAATCTCAACGGTTGGCTTTGACTGGCGATTGTTTAATGCGGAGTGATCGAAAAGAAGATGGCAATAGCTAAAGTTGCAGCTGCAAGGGTGACGATACATATAAGCTACATTCAAAGTTTCATTGTAGTCTGGCTAATCGTTCCTAAGCTTCAGAAGCAGAACATACCCATGACTGAAACCCCACATTACTTCTGCTGTGGACTGTACCTTGACGTCCTTCAGCACCCTGGCCAGCGCGTGGTGTTGCTGCTCCTTGCGCAGAAGGATCTCCCTCAGCCTGCTGACGAGTTTGGTCTGGGCGTGCTGTCGCGCCTCTGCCGCCTGAGCCGCCTGCTGCCTCTGCTGCTCCAGCTGAGCTCGCAGCTGAGAACGTTCCTCGCTCAGGGAGGAGACGGTCCGCTGTAGGAGCTGAGCCGTCTCACGGCGCTCCGACTCCAGCCTGCCACACAAGGAAATACATCAGGCACAGACCACCCTCGCCGCCTACAGTCTGCAGCGCATGAACACAGGCAAACGAGCAAACAGAGTACGGAAGAAAAGGAACAGATAGCTAGAGCCAGAATATGTGGCGGCAGACGAGTGAAGGTAGTGAAATACGGTCGGGTACGCAGCGCTGACCCCACACTGCCACAGTGACCCACCTGGCGACCCGTTCTCGGCAGGCGGCCTCCTGCTGCCGGCTCTGTCGCAGCCGCTCCATCAGCGCCCCGATGGCCCGCTCCTGTTCCGCCACCAGTTCGGCCGACTCGTTCAGACGGCTCAGCTGGACCGGCTCGGCGCCGCCGCTGTCAGAGAGAGGACGCTGCGCGCTCCGCTCCGCCTCCAGGCTGTGGGTACAGACACAGTGAGACATGGTTACCACCGGTCAGGGACGACTCGGCGCCGCCGCTGTCAGAGAGAGGACGCTGCGCGCTGCGCTCCGCCTCTAGACTGTGGACGAAAACAGAGGAGCACGGTCACCACCAGTCCGCGACGGCTCGGCGCCGCCGCTGTCAGAGAGAGGACGCTGCGCGCTGCGCTCCGCCTCCAGACTGTGGGAGCGGACACAGAGACCCGTGACGGTCAGTCGCTCGCTTTCACTCATATCACTTACTGTTTGCCGGCCTGGGCTCCACCGACACAGCAGCAGCGCCACCGCATAGACAAGGCCATCAACTTCGCTACCCGCATCGTGACCAGAAAGCATCGACACGAACGCATCTCAGCCGCCAGACGAGAGTTAGGGTGGATGCAGTTCGATGCTGTGATCGATTATCGTGACTCCGTGCTGATGCATTCCACTGTACACCGGGACCAGGGGCCGCAGCGTCTGAAGGAGTTTGTCTCGTACCGAGCCGACATATCTGAGCGAGAGACGCGTGCATCCAGTGCTGGGCTATTGGAGACTCGCCGCTGCCGCCTCGAAGCGACCAGAATGTCTGTGCCCGATCGAGCTGTTCGCACATGGAACCGGCTGCCCGTCGCTGTCCGCGGAAGCACCGCCTGCGCATTTAAAAGAAATGTAAAACGTGCTCTGTTGGAAACCACCTAGCGTGCCAACTGTCTAGCAGCTCTCGTTGTACTCGTGTCTTGTATCTTTTACTCGTCTTTTAACCCGTTTTTTTTTTAGATGAAGGGAGAAGGTGTTTTAGTGTTTGTTGTGTTTTTAGAAGGTGTTTTAGGCTATGGCACACAATGTATGACGCTGTGGCGTAAAAGCCAAATCGTATGGATGCCACAAAGATTTGCAATAAATAAATAAATAAATAAATAAAGTCGGGGCATACTGAGACACAAACAATTACAGTGCTGTGTGTGTGTCTTGTTGTGTGACAGCACTAGACACATCGACAGAGGGAGACTACGCCTGCGAGTCGGGACCTGGCAGGACAAACACAACAAAAAGGAGAGCATACACTATTGATCAGCGGACTGAAAAGGAGGTTTCAGCTGAATGGCACAACTGCAAGTGTTCCGTTCAGCGAGATTTTGCCGATGCTGGACGCTGCTCGCTCTGACATTTACACGGGAACGGATGCGTTGGCTGGACTCTGACCTGGCGACCAGGGCCAGCTGCTGCCGCAGCTGCTGCCCGCTCCGCTCCAGCTGCTGGCTGTGCTGCTCCGCCTGGCGGGCCGCCTGCTGACGCGTCTCGTCCAGCAGCCGTCGGAACTGGTCGCAGCTCTGCTCCTTCTGTCTCAGTCGCTGCTGCAGTGACGCGACAGACGCCTCGGCCAGGCGCAGTCGACGCAGGGAGCCGGCAGCCGACGGGAGAGCCGGGTGATCACCGTCAGCGGCGCCGGACGGCGGGACCTCGTCTGACGGGGACGGGACCTCGCCGGCCGCGGGTGGGAGCTCGTCTGAAAGAGGCGCACAGCCACCGTCAGCTCGGGCCGTTTTGGGCTTGTCAAAAATTTCGAGACAATTAGTAAGACGACGCCTGGCGGTAAGATACCACACCCTGATAAGGCTGTAAAAGGTGATACCCAGTGAGTTCGCGAATCCCACGTGCAACGGTAAGCATCCCCGGCAGCCGTCGTCTCACCGCTCTCACCCGTCTCACTGCTACTCACCGATCGCTGGCGGGGACGGTATGGAGTATGTACCCGCCGGGGAGGGCGGCCTCCCGGGCGCCGGCAGGCCACACACCATCCTCAGAGTGTCTGCGGACACTAACAGCAGAGAGGCGGCGGCGGCCACTGGCTGCAGCGCCTCAGACAGTCGGCTCTGCAGCTCACAGACGTCCCGCCGGCCGGCCAGCCACGCCAGGACACCGCGCAGGGCCTCGGCGTGCTGCTCACAGGCCGACTAGGGAGGGAAGAGTAGCGGTCAGGGCATATACAGCTTTGGTCCCAGGTGGCCACACGAGCAGACTCCATCAGCTGCTGTTGTAATAGAAGTCACTTGACGCAACTGACGCTGCAGTTTACTGCATTTAAGTAACCAAGAAGCGATATCAACAATGTCTTGCTCAAGTGGATTTGATATTTGTGATTTAATGATGATCACAGTCAGCGTCTTACCGTGAGCTGATTATCCTCGGCCGGCCGGTCCCCTCCTGTCTCCCGCGGGGCTGTGCTGTCCGCCGCTCCGTCCCCGGCGGATTTTCGCACAGCGACCGGCGGCGGGCGGCGCACGGGCAGCCGGCTGGACTGCGGGCCGGTCCGGGGGGCGGGCCGCGCCGGGCCGGAGTCACCGGCCGTCTCCGTGGCAGGGAGCGGCGCAGAGTCGGCGGCGGCGTCCCCGTCAGTAACCGAGCCGAGCTGGAACACCGCACACACCGGCACCCCACCGTCAACACTCCGGGGTATGACTGTCACCAGTGCAGTGTACTCTATAAAACAAACGCACTGGACAGGCGGGGGCTGCAGAGCAGACCTGTTCTATGTTTTATGAACATTTCCCGCCGTCATAAGTCATAACATAAACTCGAATACGTCATTTTTGTAGACACAGGACACACAGCTGCACTGAGCACAAAACACCTCCGGCGTCCCACCCACCCGTACCAGCACACCGGACTCTGGACAGGCTGACCTGTATCTCCAGCTGTCGCAGCTCCAGCCGGTTGGTCAGCCGGCAGACGGTGCTCTCGGCGTCTGCCGCCCGCCGCTCCTGTTCGTCCAGCTGACTGCGGACCAGGGCGCACTCTGCCGACAGACGCTCGCAGCGAGGCCGCAGAGTGGCCAGCTGGTGGAGGGGAGGGGGGGGGGACTCAGAGTCAGGGTAAAGACAGGGCGAGCAACTGTCGACCAGTCGTCCAGCGCTACAGCAGTTCTTCGACACAAGTGGAGCTGTGCTTGTAAGTACGGTATGCCATAAACGTGGTGAAATAAATGTCTGACAACGAACTGCATTCATCCTACACCGTAAAACATCGCCTGATGCTTGATTCGATCTCCCGACAATCAGTCGCATGAGGGAGGGATATCACGAAGCCTATGCTCAAAGGATGCTCTCACCTAAAGGTCTTTCGGAAGCTCTTATCTCACGAAGCGTGTCTGTCCAACAGAAGCTCTAGTCTGACCTCCATCCGTAAATATACTGTACACTGTACAACAGGCTCACTTCCCATCCTCAAACACTCTTCTCCCAGAACCTACACCACACACCGGTCCCCCTGAATTACGGAGACTGTACAACTGCGCGGTATTCTCACCTCCAGTTCGGCGGCCTGGCAGCGCGCCAGCCACTCCTGCAGCTGCGGGGCGCCAGTCTTCAGCTGCTGCAGGGCACTCTCCAGCAGCGCCCGCTGCGCCTTACAGCCCTGACGCTCGCCTTCAGCCGCGTCCCGGGCCTCCTGTGATGGAGAAGCACATACAGTTAGCAGACATACACTGCGAGCAGGCCGACTGAGCTCTGACTAGCAGCACCCAAACAGCCTATTTCAACAACCTATTTCAATATCTAAATAAAATTTATCAACTAAAATATGGTCACAGTAAATGGATTGGTTACTTAGTCACTGTCTCACACCACGGTGGCGTCTGAACGCATCCAGCGCCGTCGCTCGTTGCTGTGCCGGTGTACGCTATCCCCTGCGTGCCCGCGGTGCCCTCTCCGTCCGCTGACCTGTGCGGCGGACAGCTGGAGCTGCATCGCGCGCCGGCGACTCAGAAGGTCGGCCAGGGTCTCCGAGAGACGCTCGTGGAGGGCCCTCTGAGGGAGACTGAGGCAGCCGCGAAGCTCCTGAACCGCCAGACGGACGCAGCTGCGGGCGGACCAGAAACTGTCAGCTGCAACCTATACAACACAACGGAGTTTAACAGTCAGTTACTACCTCACATCCCCTGAACCGCCAGACGGATACACCTGCTGCTACGAGCGGACCAGAACGGGTCAAATGCAAACAAAATCCATCATAGCTGAGAGCCATAGACACGACTTCTTTCACAGTGACAGTACCTCTCGCAGCTGACTGAACCCGTTCCAGAGCGCCGTCCGTCAGCACGGTAGCATCCTGTCCTCACTCACCTCATCCTGCGCCCCTGTTCGGCCCGCAGGGCGTCCCTCTGACGGCGCGCGGCCCCCGCCTCCGTCTCAGCGGCGTACAGTCGGGCGCGGACGGCCTCCAGCTCAGAGCGGCCCTGGTCCAGGCGACACTGCAACTCGGCCTCGGAGCGCTCCTTCTCCAGCAGACGCTGGTGCAGAGACGCTGCCCGCACACCAGGCGGTTTACATCCATTGGGTTTCGTGGTTTTCGTTACATTTCTTGTTCGTGCATTGACTACGTCTAAATTCATTTTGACATGCATATTTTTTCCATAACATATTTTGGTTTCTTTTTCCATTTTAGCTAAATCTTATATTCCTACCCGACGTACAAACATTCATAGCTCTCATTAATCTACAGATCTGTCTCAGCCTGTGTCACTGTGCAGCACAGCGTGAGAGGCGGCCATACCAGCAAATGTGCCGTTCGAAGTGAAATAAATAAACATTGTGTAGTTGGTGTATGAGTCGCATCCCGCCTGTAAGCGGTTCGTGTTTTTTTTTTTTTTGGGGGGGGGGGGGTCTGATCTCGAGTGACTGACCGAACATCGCGCAAAAACAAATCAACACGCCGGTGTGTCGGGCGGAGGGCGCCGAGGGAGCTGGCACGTAGCGTCCGTAGCCGAACGGTTTTGTTTTCTTATTGGGACTTTAGGGCGCGCCGACTACAAAGGTCATTTTGCGCCCATAACGTCACACTAGTAAAACAAGTGTTTCAAAAGAAAGAACCTTCTAGATATCACGACTAGAAAGTAAAAGACTTGATAAAAAATGACAAGGTCATTTTCGCCGACGGTAGTGAGCATCAGTTAATCAGTAGCGAAATTAATGTGAACGAATGAATTAAATGATACAGACTCCTAGTTTATTCTGGACCCTCGTTCGTTCAGGACTGCGTATGTTGCAAAGTGCCTCCAGCACCGGTCCCTGAAGGCGCCTCTGCGGCCGCAGATGCTCCGTTCCCGACCGCCGAGGACGTCAGTGACAGTGGCGGCTGCGTGCCGCGCGGCCCCGTCGCGTAGACATGGCTCTGGCCGCCGTGCTTTTGGCCGCTCTGCTGACCGTCGCCAGTGCCGCGCAGCCGCCGCACATCATCCTGATCGTGGCCGACGACCTGGGCTTTGACGACACCAGTCTGCGCGGCTCCGACCAGATCCCCACACCGAACCTGGATGCGCTGGCGTTCAGCGGCGCCGCGCTGGGCCGATACTACGTGCACGCGCTGTGCACGCCGTCCCGAGCGGCGCTGCTGACGGGCCGCCTGCCGACGCACACCGGCCTCCAGACGGACGTCATCTACGCGTCCGAGCCGTACGGGCTCGGACTGAACGAGACGCTACTGCCGCAGCTGCTGGAGCCGCTCGGATACAGCTGCCACGCCGTGGGAAAGTGGCACCTGGGCTTCTACAGGCGGGCGTACACGCCGTCCCAGCGAGGCTTCAAATCCCACCTGGGCTCCTGGGCCGGCCATGGAGACTACTACGATCACACTGCCAAGGAGGGTGAGTACTGGGGGTTGGACCTGCACAGTGACCTGGAGCCGGTCGGCGACCAACTGGGCCGCTACTCGACCGACATCTTCACAGAGGAGGCTGAGCGGCTGATCAGCGCCCACAACGCCTCCCGGCCGCTGTTCCTGTATCTCGCCCACCAGGCGGTACACGCCGGGAACTCGTACGCGCCGCTGCAGCCCGGCCCGGCGATCGGCGCTGACCAGTTCCCCTGGATCACAGACCCCCAGCGGCGGGCGTTTGCTGCCGTGACGGCGGCGCTGGACGCCGCGGTGGGCCGGGTGGTGGCCGCGCTGGCCCGGGCCGACCTCCTCTCTAACTCGCTGATTGTGGTGACTACCGACAACGGCGGCGCGGTGGACGGTGTGGACGGTAACGCCGCCTCCAACTGGCCCCTGCGCGGCGGTAAGTACACGCTCTGGGAGGGCGGCGTGCGCGGCTCGGCGCTGGTCTGGAGCCCCCGGCTGCCGCGCTGGAGCCGCCCCGTCCAGCGCACCGTTCACATCACCGACTGGCTGCCCACACTACTGGAGGCTGCAGGAGGGGCGCCGGACCGCCTCCCCGCCCTGGACGGCGTCAGCCAGTGGGGCGTGCTCACCGGCGCCGCGCCCGACCAGGACACCGACAGGACCATCCTACACAACATCGACCCCAGCAACAACTACTCCGCTCTGATGGTGGACGCGCGGTACAAACTGGTGCAGGGGGAACCGTTCCCGTACAACGGCTGGTACTCGGCCGGCGCACGGAACAGCTCCGGTCTCGATCTGTTCGCTCTGTTGTCTGAGAGCCCCGCCGGGCAGGCGGTGAGCCAGCTCGGCCGTCCCGTCGACCGGGCGGTGGCCGACTCCCTGCGCCGGCAGCTGGCGGTAAAGTGTGACACGGAGCGGCCAGCCGCGGCCCACTGCGGGAACGGCTGCGTGTTTGACGTGGTCGCCGACCCGTGCGAGACGACAGACCTCTCCGACACACAGCCCCTGCTGCGGCGCCAGCTGGAGGAGCGGCTCGACCAGCTGCGAGCCTCCATGGTGCCCTCTCGGAAGGTGCCGGCTGACCCGCGGGCCGACCCGAAGCTCTGGAACTACACCTGGACGTACTGGGCTGACCTGCTGCCGGACGACTCCCCCCAGCCGCCCTGAGCCTGCGCCCCGGAGGGTCCACTGCTCTGACCGTGCTTGGCAGGCAGCCAGGTCACCAGATGCGGTATCCGAACTGCAGGGCCGGACGCCTCAATAACTGCATCCATAAAAGCGTTTTGTGATACCTTTTATGCGTATCTATCACGCAAATGTATCGTTCGTGATCTCGGGATTAAAAAAAACTGCAGCTACCCTCGCTATGGAGTTTCAAAAGCAGCCCGTTATATTCTGAATATTAGCTGCAGTGCCACACGAGTATGACTGACAAAGAACTGACGGTGCCATCCACTGTGCGCCGGTAGCCTGACTGACCTATGACGCCACGCAGGTCGTCCGTCTCCTGCAGCTCGGCCAGCTGTCGGCGGACCGAGTCGGCCGCCCGGTCCGCAGCCTGCTGCTGCGAGCGCAGCTGCTCCAGCTGGGTGGTGGCCAGCTGCTCCGTCTCGCGCAGCCGGTCCCGCTCCGACTCCACACTCGCCTGAAACGGAACATTACGTCAGTGTGTTACTCTCTGAAATATAGTCACGCCCACCCACTCCCTCTACATTCACCTGAAACGGAGACACGCATCATACAACAGCACTCACTTCACACTTGATTGAACGGGAGACATGATCGATCGATACTCTACAGAATGGTTGCCTGAAACAGAGTCAACACTTCGGACACTACATAGTACACAACTTGCTTCTGACTAGCTGCAAGTTGCAACGGACACAAATGGCTGTACTCATCGACAATGGGATGCACACGCTCACTAAGCCACTCAAAACCAGACACCCCACTGACCAGTTTAGCCTGCAGCTGCGCCTCGGAGGGCTCGTCGGGCCCGGCGCCGGCGGCTGCCGACTCCGACAGGCGGCGGCAGAGCTGCTCCAGCGCCCGCCGACCGGTGCCGCCCGCCTCAGCCAGCTCAGAGTAGGTGCGCTCCAGCTCGGCGGCGCGGCGCTCGGCCTCCGACAGCTGGTCTGGGGAGGGGACAGGGAGATTAGGAGACACACAGCTAGTCTTAGGGAGGGGACTGGGAGAGAACGGCGTTACATGGTAGAGCTGATACACGAGCACATAGGCGGCCAGGCGGAACCGGACGGACAGTCGGATGGACGGAGGCGTATCGACAAACGGACGGAAGGGCAGATGAAGACTGACAGACGAACAGACTGACGGGCGGAGACGTAGAGACGAACAGATGGAAGAGCGGAGACGTACAGACGAATGGGGTGAAGGGCAGACGAAGACGGACAGACGGCAGCGGATGGATGGACAGCGACGCCTCTGTTTGTGGTGATCAGACACATTACACCCACGACTACGGTCGCTACCTTTGAGCAGTTGCTGCAGCCGCTCGGCGTGTTCGGCGCGCAGCCGCTGCCGGCGCTCCTCCGAGGGCAGCTGCTCAGCCAGCTGGGCCTGCAACAGCGGTAGCAGCCAGGTCAGACTCAGAGCATCCGGAAGTGCCGAGCTCTGCCAGATCTAACGTAAACACACAGACTAACATACAATGATGCAAACATACAAAATGGCTTCGGAAAAGGCATGTAGCTAGATTCAAGAACGGCATCAAGCCGGCGGCCGCTGGGCCTCAGCGTCTATCGGGCAGCGGATGGCTCGGGCTCCATGGTCTCAGCATCATGAGCTAATTGCCATGCTGGACATTCTTCACCCGCCAGGTGCCGTAACACGTCACCGGCCGCTGTCCTTAGCCGCTCACCTGGTCTGTGTCTGCGGTCTGCTGCTGGGACCCGGCCGTACCCAGACCGGCCAGCCGCTGCCGTAACAAGGCCAGCTCCGACTCCAGAAGGCGGCTGGCGCGCTCCTCCCCGAGCTGGAACACACAACGGCGAGTGGACACATGTAAACTTCTAACAAGAAGGGCGAGAGCGGTGAACAATCAATGTCCGCAGTATGAGGAGAGTACGGGGTGTGGGGCAGAGCTTCGATGCGGTCGCGGAACATGAACGAGTGAAACTGAACCAACTTTCACACTACCAGCATTCACAATGGTAATTGTTTTCCTCTTTTTACACCTTGTGAAGATGCCCAACTGAATTGCCGTCGTTCTCACTCACGAGTTTCTCCTGGTTCTGGAGGAAAGTTGTGTACTTGTCGGTGAGCTGGTCGACCTGCTCGTTCAGCTCAGTGAGTTTGTCGAGCGGCACGCTGCGGGCCAGCTGCCGCTGCACAGCTGCCAGCTGCAGCTCCAGGGTCCGCTGAGGGTCACACGGTCAGCGGTCAGAAGCTGTGTAGATCGGTTAGAGCGTCAGCAAACCGGTCAGAGCGTCAGCTAGGGCAGCGGATTAATAACGACCCACCTTACACACAACACAGCTAGTCCCCCTCCCGGGCTACAGTTTCCCGTCTGACCGTCACACGCTGTTCGTCGCCCATCGTCCATTTCCCATGACTACCCATACCAACTGCGTCCAACTGTCCGTCTCCCATCCCCGTCGTTCGCTCACCTTCCCTGCACGCAGCTCTGCCACCGCGTCTGTAGCTGCCCGCTGTGCCCTCTGCAGCTCGGAACGCGCGGCGGTGAGCCGCTGCTGCAGCTGGTCCCTGTCGGCAGCTGTCAGCCGCAGCCGGCGCTCGGCGCGCACCAGCTGCGCCACCGTCAGCGCCAGCTGCCGCTCCGTGTCGGCGGCCGGCCGCTGCAGCTGCAGCTGCTCCACCTGAGCCTGCAGAGCCTGTATAGCAGACGCTCGGGTCAGCGACTGCACTCCGAGTCACAAGGCGCTAGCCACAATAGTCAGTCGAGCTGTCATGTTTTCATTTTTTTTCCGAAATACTTCTCGAGTCTTACTCGTCTAGCACGAATTCAACCCATCCTCTTGCTCGCTTTTACACAGAATATGAAAAGTGCATAATTTTGAACAAACTCGAAACTGAGATAAAAACGATTGGCCTGAATCTGTAAATATTCCGATGAAAGTTCGATTCAGCAGTTGGAACGGTCCTCATCCGACCTCCTCACCCTCACCGGTCCCCACCCATCCAAAGCAGTTTCATCCCGATGAGAGCGGCCGGACGGTGCGCTGGCCGCTGACCCACCTTGGTCTCAGTTTCTGCCTCCTGTCGGGCGGAGACCAGCTCTCCCCGCTCCTGGCGCCACGTCTCGGCGTCCTCTGCCCGCCGCTCGTGCAGCAGCCCCAGCTGGTGACGACACACCAGCAGCTGGCCACGCAGCTGCTCCAACTCCGAGCGCGTCTGCTGGCTCTCCCGACCGGCGTCGTCCACCGCCTGACGAAACGGCAGCAAAAGTAGCGTCAGACGTTAGTAGAAGTAGCAAAAACAGGAGCCGTAGCAGTGGCACCGGAGGAGGAAGGCGTCATGAGCCAGAAAAGTAACAACGATATGCTTCAAACATCATTGAATATTACTGAGCACAGAGAACATATCAGTTTAGTTACCTATCTGTAAATAAGTTAGAGTATCAGAATATAGAGAATCAGTAATACCTTCAGCGCCACTGTGAGCTGTGCAGTCAGCTGTCCAACCAGCTGGCTGCTGGAGACTGAGAGGTGAGCCGGCAGCCGCAGACCGGCCGGCGCCAGGACCTCCGCCACGCCGCCGGTGCCGCTGCCGCCCGCCGCCGCCGGGACGACGGGCCAGCTGCGACTCTCGGCTCTGGGGGAACGGAACGGTCAGCTTGGTGGGAGGCGGGCGTACGTGCGTGTGCATCACCTTGTGAATGTTCATATATACAAACACGAGCATACATACAAACACGAGCATACATACAAACACGCCAATAAACACACTGGCATACAAATTAAAAGCGATTCACGGGACGCCCGCGAGTGTAAAATTATCTCCGATACAGTGTCAGCTCAGAGGCCGGCAACGGCGAGAGAGCACTCGCCGGCCGCCGACCCGGTCCTCGGCCTACCTGGCAGCCCTCAGCTGGTCGCGCAGCTCCTCGTTTCGTCCCTCGAGCTGCTGCAGGGCAGAGTAAGGCACCAGGGCCGGACGGTACTCGCCGCCGGCCAGACTGCGGGTGTCCAGCGCCTGCAGCAGTGCCTCCAGAGTGGGCGCCGCCACCTTCACTGAGCTGACGGCTACAGGAGGGCGCATGGAGAACAGGTGTCAGACATATAACACAGCCAGTCAGCGGCAGTGACTGGGAATCACCACGCCATGAGCCTAATAACACATGGCACAATCCAAAGGAACCGTCATGACCATGATTCAAAGTGATGTCGGAAGAAGTCATGGAGAACCGACATTCGGGGAACCGTCACTTGTTTTCGGTAACACGGTTCCGGCGACCACAAGCTGGTAAAACTGACTTGAAACCCCTTCTGATCTAACTCGGGGATACGCGCTGTCCATGGTCCGTTTAAAATTATTCGAATGCGCAATGAGCATCCTCGAATAAGCCCCGAATGAGCACCCTCAACGCTGTGTGCCCGGTGGCCCCTCTACCAATTTCCAAGCGCCTGCCATGTGTCGTCCCAGCGGCTGTCCCGTACCCTCCCGGCGCCCGCCACGTACCGTCCTGCTGTCGGACGCTCTCCAGCACCTCCCGCAGTCCGGTGCGCAGCTGGTGGTTCTCGGCGGCGGCCTGCGCGCCGGCCGACTCGGCCTGCGCCAGCCGCTCTCTGCTCTCCGAGAGCTGCGACTCCAGCTGGGTGATACGCTGCAGCAGCTCGCCGGCCGGCCGGGGCCGACGCTCCGCCGGCACCGAAGCTGAGAGGAAAGGCAGATAAATGGTCATACTCACCATGCACAATACAGTCGACGCCAACCCAGTCGCAGGGCGAAAAAAAAACACAGAACAGGTTACACACATACACCACACGCTTTACAGTCGCTGCCGGCATAACAGCTGAGCGGCAAAACAGCATTTCACTACAAGTTACTACCTCCACATTCGCGCATGTCAACACGCACGCAGAAGTTGTGCAACACTTCGCTGTGCTATCACTGTCATGACTGATCTGGAAGAGTCTCAACAGCCTGGCAGATAGGGTTTGTCGGTGAGCTTTATGACTTACTCGTCAACCGACTAAAATGCCTGCTACATAACCCTACTCACCGGGTCCCAGCCGGCGCACGTACTCCCAGAACTGCTTCCTCTGACGGCAGATGTCGCGAATCTCCTCCGGAGAGAGGCCCGACTGGCTCTCCGAGCGCAACTGGCGGCTCAGCTTACGGTTCTGCCGACACGGCGCGGAGCGTCAGCGGTACAGGCCACATTGGGAGCAGTGGCACGTGTGGGGCAGGGAGTCATTCAGTTGAGTTGACAGCGAAGGTGGCAGTACTGGTGATAAACAGCAATAAAAAATGGCAAAGAAATATACTCTTTTAGATGAAGTTTAGGGATTTACCTTCGTGAAAACATCAAAAAACGCAGCGGAAAACACGAACAAAATCAGATCAAACTGTGTCGAACCATCCCGGCTCACCTCCAGTTTGAGTGCGATTCTCTCCTCCTCCAGTTTCTGCACCTCTCGCTCCAGTACGTGGACCAGTTTCTCCCGACCGCCGCTACCCGCCGCCACCAGTTCCGCCGCCTCGTGCGGCTCCATGCCCAGTCGGCTCCTGCAGGGGACACCGGAGGGCACAGACACGTCTCAGATATACTGAGTGAGAGCACTGACATACATACGGTAAAAGGGTCAATAGACGGTCAGATGGACGGATAGACTGACGAATGACCGACAAACGGAAAGGGGACAGACGGACGTACGGGGTGAGAGGAAAACAGGCAGACCGGAGCATAGGCAAGACAGACAAGACAAGACAACACATGTAAAAGACAAACAACAAGCAAGCAAACGAGCTAACAAACACAGACAAGGGCAGGCCTCCCACCCCGATACGTCAGTGTCTCTGACCTGAGCGCCGAGTTTTCGTCGACCACCTCGGTGAGGTGGCGCTGCATGAGGTTGATGAAGTTGTTCTGTTCGGTCACCTGTCGGTCTCTCACGCCGATCTGGCGCTGCGCCTCCTTAATCTCTGCCACCGCCTCCGAGAGGCCGAACTCGCCATCCATTACTTCCCGGAGTCGCGCGGTCAGCTGGGTCACCTGAGACAAGGGTTAATGTCAGTGTCAGTGTGAGTGTCAGTGTCAGCCTGGTCACCTGGCGGAGGACAGTGTCAGTGTCGGTTACGTCATCTGTTAGATCAAAATGTCAGTGTCAATGACAATTACGGCTTCTAACTAATTTAAATCACTAATCCCCTGCACTACACGTGCAACTAAAACTTTCACCTGTTATAAACATTACATCCGCAAACTGTAACCTACCTGATAATGAAAGCCCACTGTGACACTCCACAGCCTGTTCCCGCATCTCATTCTCGAAGTGCGTGTGTGTCTGATGTCCCACCTGATCGTTGTATTCGGCCGCCTGCTGTTCGGTCCTCTCCAGTCGGTCGGTGAGCTGGCGCACCTGAGCCTCGGACCGACTCAGTTCAGAGCGCACCTTCAGCAGAGAGTCACCGGGCACCACAGCCGCGGCGTCACCGCCTCTGAGGGTCACCAGATACAGGTCAGATCGGGATATATCTGATCACACCGTACTGCCAACAGATATACGTCAGACCTAGGGATAAGATCGCGTCGTACATCAGTCATCTGTAAGATCGGGAGATATCTGATCGCACAGAGCTGCCAGCAGATAGGTATCTGATCGCACTGCCAGCAATCAATAAATCCGTCAGATCGGGAGATATCTGATCTAACTGTACCACCAACACTGAGCCGTATCAGTGTCAGTGTCAGTGTCAGCGTGTGTCAGTCTCTGTCACACTGACCCAGTGTCGGTATCGGCGGCGCCGGCGCGCCGCTCCGTCTCCAGTCGCGCCGCGATCGCCTCCATATCCGCGGTGGCGCGCTGCAGCTCTGCCTGGCGCGCCGCCAGCTGACGCCGCTGGTCGGCGCATAGACGCTCCAGCTCCGCGAGACGCGTCTGGTCGGCGGCCTGACGAACACATAGACAGGGGTCACATGGGACTGTTACACTGGAAAAAGAGCTGACACAAAGAGAGGAGTCAAAGCAGACCTGCGCAACAGCAGTACGGTGTCTGAGCGGGCCGGTATTACAGCGGCAGCGAGGCTGACGGCTGCCGTGGTACACCAAACTACCTACACTGCTTCTAGCCCGGCGCAGCTGCTAACCAGTGGCGGCTGAGGTAGAATACGTGGTACAGCTCGACTACCCACCCTGTTGCTGGCCCGTCGCAGCTGCGACTGCAGCTCCTCAATCTCGGCGTGCCGCTGCGCGATGAGCCGTTTGAACTGATCGGTGCGCTCCTCCACCACGGCGGCCAGCTGGTCGAACTGGGCGTCCCTGCGCGCCTTCAGCGCCCGCAGCTCGGCCACCTCGGCCTGTAGTCGCTGCACGGCGCGGTCGGTCGGAGGGTCGCCGGCGCCGGCCGCCGCTGCGCTCTCTGAGCACACAGAGACACAGACGGGTTAGAGATTTACGGGTCAATTGACGACCGACAGGTGTCATACGAGTATTAGTGGTTAAAAATCACTCGCATCGCTCACTGTCCCAACAGCTCAGCCGTCAACACACCCCCACCGCACAGCAGCTGTCTCCCCCCCCCCCATTTCCTCATTTAAACCTCAACCACTCCCTCACTCAACCGTCAATCACTCTCTCTTTCAACCAGCCAACCTCCTATTCTCCCTCCCTCTCCCCCACAGGACCCGGTCACACATACGAACCGTGCTCGGCCGGCCGGGGTTTTCGCCGCAGCTGGTCAAACTCGGCCGTCATGGTCTCAATCTGACTGGTGGCCTCCGACAGCTGCTCGCGTAACGACGTCACCTGATCGCGCAGCTCAGACTTCTCCCGCTCATGAGCCTGTCGGAGAGGGTATGTTTACATCGTATTGCGTTGTGTCGTATAAAGAGAGATGTAGGTCCACATGGTGTGGCATTGCCTGGTATTGCATCAGTTTTATAAGAAACCAGGGGCCATATTCACGTCGATGATTTTCGTAAGAATTTTCTTAAGTTTGACCTACTTCTTAAGTAAATTTTTTTAATCACGTGCACTCCGTCGATAAAAACTTAAGCAGTGTCGACGTGAATACCAAATTATACTTACGAAAGAAAATCGACTTACGAAGTCGACGTGAATACGGCCCCAGCACTGAACGGTCGTTGGATAAGCTGGGAATTTAACGAGGCGTGATAGAAGACTGACCGACAGGTATAGAAACAGACGGGCTGCGCTCCGGTCTTACCTCGACATCATCCAGCAGCACGTTGATGTAGTGGTTCTTTTGACGCAGCAGCTCGGCGTACTGGCTCTCCCCGGCGTCCTCCGGGTCCTGGTGAACGAAAGGCATCACATAATGCATATCAGCACGGCGTACCGTAACCAACACGAGAAGGTAGGCACAGAGCAGAAGCTGAGCGTTTGGTTAATGCTAGAAAAAAATATCGCTTTTCAGATAGTCCCACTTCGGCGATGAAAAATATTTGATGTAGGCACAACTTTTTGCTTTAAAAGCAAGGAAGGGAATTGGTGTGCTATTTATGTGCTACAAAAAACAAAAACAAAGAATAACGAATAAGGTGCGGTAAAAAAAAACGAAAGAGACACCAAAGCACGACCGGTTTCTTTTGCGCGGCGTAGTTAGGTCGCCGCCCTCCTCGCGAGGCCGGTAACGTAAGGGCCACTAAAAAAAAGCTCCGGCGGCTTTGGCGTATGGCCTACCGATCTGGAGTCGTAGTCGGGCCGCATGCCCTCCAGCGTGCTGTTCAGCTGGTCCAGCTGCCGGCGCAGCTCGCGTCGCTCCGACTCCAACTCCTCGACCCGCGCGCTGAGCTGTCGGCGGGAGGGGGCACCGTCAGAGGGCAGCGCGGCAGGACGCAGACAACACTCACAGCAGGAGACGGAACACATCCTCCCCGCCGCCAGAGGGCAGCACGGCAGGACGCAGACAACGCTCATAGCAGGAGACGGAACACATCCTCCCCGCCGCCAGAGGGCAGCACGGCAGGACGCAGACAACGCTCATAGCAGGAGACGGAACACATCCTCACCGCCGTCAGACTGGGCAGTGCTGAGCGCAAAGTACGCCACGGTAGGACGCAGGCGGCGGAAATAACACGGCGTGGATGGGGACGAGATGGGGAAGGCGGCACACGGTGTGACGCCAGAGTAGGCCGGACCGGGCCGCATGGGACATGAGAGATCCCAGCCTCCCGCGACTTACCCTTATCACCCTCTACCTGGACTGCTTCACATGGTCCAATATCCCGCGATAGAGTCTTGTCATCCCTCCCACCTCCCATGACATGACACGACTTCACATTCCCTTTCTCGTTTCCACACCGGGCTGAACACCGATCGTCGCGCTCACCTTGTCGTTTTCCCGTTTCTCGTCATCCAGCTGGCGCTGTTTGGCCTTGAGGTCCTTCTTGAGCTGTGCCCGGGACGCCTGGAGGTCCTCCAATTCAGACCGCACACTGGCGCTGCCAGAGTCTGACCACACAACAGGTGACAAGACAAACGTTAGTTTTGTTCACGTTTTCTTAAGGGATCGCCGCCCATGCGTGATAACTTTGATGGCTTTTTACAACTCAGCATCCCTGGTCATTTTGCTGTCATCCATAGGGTAAGCGGGTCGGTGCGGTTCTCGCGTTTGGCTCTTGAATTATAGAGGTTGATAAAACAACGTGTCTTTAAAAACTCCTGAGCGGTGGATATCTATTACCGTGAATTCAGATGGACATAGGTAGATAATATAAGCTGAGCCTAGGTCAAGGTGCCGGTCCCGTAGCTCAGTCGGTAGAGCGTTGGAATCCGCGTGGTGAAAGCACGCGTTCCCAGTTACAACAGTCCGGGTTCGAAACGCGACGGGCGCTTGACGTTTATGGGCCTCCTGACAGGTATGGTTGCAGTTGGTGGCAGGCCGTAGCCAGGCGAAGTCCGTGAGGGGACCGGCCGTGCCCGACTATGTGCGCACGTTAAACTTTGGACTCAAAATTCTGCCATAGAACCGGAATTACGTGATCGGAGGGTAGAGAGCGGAGTCAACGCAACAAGCTTCGCTTAGCGGGGGCTATGTCCTTGTGAATCCTTTCGATAAAAATGTTCGGACTAAATTAATAAAAAATGTCACCAGGGGCAATTATACAACCCAGGGACCTCTGAAGGTCAAGCCATACAATACTGATCTGTCAACTCACCTGTGCCCTTAGACTTGATCGTGTTGACAAGATGCTGTAGATCAGCATTCCTCTTCTTCAGCTGTTCATTCTCCCCCGTCGCCTCGCCAAGTTTCTCAATCTCCTCCATTGCGACCGCCAACTAGATATCAACATAGAATCAGTATCATGTAACACCTCACTGTCAATCAAACGAGCAATACAAAAACACGGACTGACAGGAACGCATGTATACACATGATTTTTCCCGAACACGTTGATACATATAGCGCAGACGTCTGTCCCACAGCACTTACCTGAGCATGTTTGTAGCGCATCACGTACTGCGCTCTCAGGAGGAGCTCCCTCAGCTGTGTGCTGTCAGCTCCATCGACTGTCTGCTGATTGAGCCCGTCCAGACCAGAGTGGAGCAGTTCGAGCTGATCCTCCGACAGCTCGGTGGCCAGCTCCATTGAGAGTACCTCTGATATGGATGGTACCTCCATTGTCAGCACACTGAGTCTCAGTTATCGCACAGGTCTAACTGAAAAACTTGGTCTTCATGGTGTGTTCCTTTCACCACCTGCCAAGGATAACCACACTCTCATCACTGCCATGTGGTGTACGCTGCACATCTTTGGCTGCAGGGGACATATGTACAGACGAGTCTTGGTCAAAGAAAGCCGGACACATTTCTAGAGCTTAACCCTAGAACGCCTAGGGGGGGGGGGGTTGTATCAACCCCCCCCCCCCCTGAGGTTTTTTAGAAGTGCACGCTAAACGGCTTGTCGTAGCGGGCTGAAATTTTCAATACGCTATGGGGCAACCTTTGCGCATCTTTTGCCGAAAAAAAATTGATCGGGTCATGTCAGGTCACGAAGTTATGACGTCATAAGAGGTACAGCCTCCGGCCGGATTTTCACAAACTGAGTGCCAACGCCCGAGGTTTCCTGCCGGTGGTACGGACATCGGTTGATGGATCGTGATGAAACTTCCCATGCATGTTGGGGCAAGTATTGGCTATCATATGGTATAAGAAATTTGACCGGGTCAGGTCAGGTCACGGAGCTATGACGTCACAAGAGGAACAGCGTCCGGTACTATTTTTGAAAAACGCCCGAACCACTATTTTGCTAATTCTTGTCACCTCAATGGGAATATGCAGCAATATTAGCTTCTATAGGGAGCAAATGGACCTCCCAAATCCAAAAATACAATCAGATTTCAAAAATTTAAATTTTGATTTTTCGAATTTCTGCCGCCGACTGTAACCTTGCCGACTTCCGGCGCTCCCAACGCGCCATTTTTAGAGCTAGGGAAACGAAATACATACCAAACGATAGAGAATTGATCAAGGAACACGATAGTGAAGGTTTCAAGTCGATATCTCTCACCGTTTTGCCGCAATCGCCGCCGAAAGTTGAAAAAAGTCTATTTTTCCGAAAATTTGACCTTTGACCGGTCAAAAGTAGGTCAAATGTTGACCTAGGACCAAAAAATATACCACCAATCGCGAGATCTCGTTGAGAGCAATCCGTTGGTTTTTTCCGCTAAGCTCTACGACCTTCCGTTTCGAAACGCCAGGGGGGGGGGGTCGTAACAACCCCCCCCCCCCTGGTCGTTCGTGTTATGAGAAATGGCCTGGTCGTGCGAGGGTTAAGTGTTCAGTTCAAGTTTAGCCAATGATGTTCCTCGCAACCGGGTGTATTGACGCTCTAATTATTTTAACCTTTTCCAGGCAATGCATCGCAAATGACAATATTTTACAACCATTTAAGAACAGTTAAACATGCTTAGTAACTTTTGACAGATACCTACCTACTCTAGCAATGAAAACACTTGGGCTGTTATCAGTTCAGCAACACAAATCAATTAGGTAATTTGGTACACATCTTTTTTCTATTTCCAGTCAGGCCACGAACCTGAAATTCTGAATTTTGTAAAACTTTTGAGTTCAACTTTTTGGATTGTATTTGTAGTTAATTTACACATATTCACAAGAGAAACATGATAGTGGCAAAACAAACACAATACACACTATAAATAAAAAGCTAGGTAACAAAAGATAGGCCCTACTATTTTATGGAGGATTTGCCAGATGCCGCCATATGGTGGCACTAGCAGAGCTTGTTATATATCAATGCCAGATACAAATAACTTAACCCGGCCGGGCCCGGGGGGTAATCCCAACCACCGCAGCCCGGGGGGGGGCGTTTTTCGCCCCCCCTGTCTAACTCCGTAAATAAGGGAGCTACGGAAACAAAAGCGATACCAAACGAAAGGTCCTTACGAGACGATTCTAATGCATCTAAAATTTTTGACCTCAGGTCAATTTTCAAGGTCAGAGGTCAAGGTCAAAGGCCAAAACCGGCACATGTGTAGTGATCTCAAAGTAAGCCTTCTAGAGGACGGCAGGCTGCATCAAACCGGCAAAATTGGGTGTCAAACGAAAGAAGAGAATCTGAGGATTCTGAAAATGTGCTCCAAATCAAAGGTCAAGGTCAAGGTCACGCTCAAAATTGACCTCAAACTTGGCACTTTTTCGCACATCTTGCGTGCTAACTTCCAAGATGTTTTGAAATGTTTTGAGGCTTATCAGTTCCCTATTTGTGGTTCATCTTACGATACAAGGCTGCTCAAAGGTCAAGGTCACAGAAGAGTATCCCTGCTAGAGGCTATTTCACTGATTCAAGTTAGTAATAATAAATAAGACAATTTTGCCATCCGGAAGCTCTAAATGAAGGCTTAGAGGAAAATAGATGCCAGATTCGTGATCAGCGGGTACAAATCCATCATAAACGACCTTTCATGTGTCAAGGTCAACCAGAGGTCATTCGAGGTCACATGAGGTCAACATGAAACTTGACCTTTTCCGAACAAAATATATATCATTCGACGCGGCTTGACAAGGCGAATGCGATGGTACCACTGCCGGAGCTCTAGGACCATTTTTGTCGAAGTTATTTGCGAAAAACTAAAACCACATTTCGGGGTCGTTGACCTGACCTCTGACCTCAGGTCACCAAAACTATTTTTCTATTTTTCTCTAGGTCAAACGCTACACAGCCGTGCTCGTAATTTGTATTTATCTCTAAAACTCTATTTTTAGCAGCTATTTGAAGTTTGCGTCTGTGACGCCGAAGTTTGCCGTGCAGGGGTCTAGAAAAATGGACCTTGTGACGTCATTAAGGGGGCTAGGTCCCAATTTTTTACTTCAGAAGATGTCAAATTGATGGGAGAAAAGGTACTGAAAGTTTCGCCTTCCTATCCCTAAGCGTTCGGGAGTTATCGCAAATATTCGCCAGGGGGGGCGAAAAACGCCCCCCCCCGGGCCCGCGAGGTTGATATCTATCTTTAGATTTTTCTGAGTGCCATTTTATGTGTTCATATCCATCTACCACAGTGATTATATCAATAAACCACATGGCTATCGTACGTCTCCAGCTGGCCAGCCAGCTAATTTTATCCAGTTGTTAGTAAGGCCCAAAAAGACCAGAAGAAATGTGTCAATTTCAATTTCGGTTATTTTTGCCCTCCGGAAGCTTAACCCAAGGCTAACGCTAACCTGAACCAAACCACAGGTCAATTTCAGTCCCACGCACAAGGGGGAAAAGCTCAAAAAATTGAGCGCTCAAAAAATTGAGCGGGCCCCATTATGAAGGAATAGGCGAAACGATGGTATTTTAAAATGCCTTTAGCGTCACACTACGGCAAATATCGTATCCAAATAAGGTATCAATGGCAAGAGAGAGCAACAAGGTTTCTTCTCGAACACTCGCCGTGATAATTTATATCGGTGTTTTTGGAAAGAAAATGCCCTAAAGACGCTCAACTTTTTGAGCGTCACTTGTCGTTCGGGACCGCGATACTCAATAAATTGAGCGCCACGACAGACGACAGTCAGCTGGCGCTCAAAAAATTGAGTGCCGGCCAGCATCTACACTCAATTTTTTTAGCGTTCTCCGCGACAGGTGAAGCCGGTACTGGCTGCCATTTTTGATGTTATGTTCGTTGAAATACGTTAAACTGAGTTGAAACAGAAATGCAGGAAGTTGAATGCTACGTGGTACCTAAACTTTTCACAAACCCATGGCATCATGTCACATTTTCCGCTAGTAGTTTTATCGGTCGCCTTTCGGATTCGGCACACCTCAAATAATTATACAGGGCTTGAATAATCCGTATGAATACTGTATTGATATTCTCTGACTGTACTGGGAGAAGGGAATACGTGAATACAGAAAGATATCCACCCACGCTTGAATATTGGAGAATTATAGCAGGAAAAACTGTATTGCCACGGTTACAACTTACAAGAAGGCCATCGGCCGCAAACAAACAAAAATACTATACAATGTGGGTTAGATTCACAAACATCATCAAGTGTGGAACACAGAGACGAGCAAAACAACATCACATTATCGCATGCATTGCCAGCCCGACCACATTGGAACCGGGTGACCTGCGACCGGAACCTGCGTCTTGCCAGCATACATCACAAAAGCAGGAGGCAGTGTCGTACTGCTTTGATCCAAAATATGCCATATAACAAATGATATAAACGACCTAAGCTCGGACTAAGCTAATCATTATCAAATCCTTAACATGTAAGGGACGAATGGAAACATCGAGTCTCAGACCAGCAGTAGCAACCATCACAGTGGCAACATCACAAAGAACACGCGGTATTATCAGACAGCCGTTTTGTTATTTGGCTACAGGCGGCGACGGCGTGGTTGCAGACCAGCTGCGAGGTAGCGGCGTGCGGGCAAAAGGCGCGGGCACACCTCCATGTGGCCGTAAGGACAGTGCGCGGTCGGCGTCGCATAGTGGGCGGCATCGGGCTGTCCCGGGGCCGTCGAAGCCGCACAGGTTGTCGGCGCATGTGGGCGCGCGCGGTCACCACGGCCGGCTGCTCACCGCCAGCACAGACTGCGCAGCGTCGCCGCTCCGCCGGCCAGAACACGCAGACAACCCTTCTTGCAGTCGCACAACACGTCGCCAAACTCATTCACCTGCTCCACCATGTTGTTGATGTCACCGAGTCGTTCAAGTTGTGGCTCGCGCCGTCGAGCATGACCTGCCCGATCGGACACGGGTCAGCGGCTTCTGCTCCAGCGAAGTCTTCAGCTTGGTGACGTCTTGCTGATCTCCACAAAGGCTGAGCAGATGACCTTACCCACAGGGACGGCCGACGTCCTCGCCAGCGACCGCTTGGTTGTGCAGACCTGCCAGAAAAAGAAAAGCAGTTTGGTGATCTCAAACGATTTTTTCTTTATGCAGTGGAACAAAATGGAAAATATGTCATACAACAGGAACTAAAAAAAGATGCAGCCTAGGTCGTCTAAGAAATGGGTGCAACATTGATAAAATTCTTCATTGAATGAATTCTGCAAATGCTTTTGAGTTTTGATAAAATGTGTGGTGATTATAAGGAGACCACTTAACTATAAAATTGCTCAGGATTCCTTATCTGGACCTGTCAAAAAATCCTGACTGCACACCAACAATGAGCATTAAATCCGAAACCTCTACCAGGTACCTAGGGATAATTAAATTCTGATTCAGGAAAATATTTCACATCATACAAATAAAAACCTTTACTATATTGAAACTGAAAAT